ATATTTCATTAAAGAATAAAGAATTTATATTTGTAATATATCTTTTAGTATTATTTGCCTTAATATTTTCCTTAAATATTATATAGTAAGTATTATTATATACTACTATATAGAATATTAATAAGATAGGATAATTATAGATTTTATATTTCTCGATAAAATCAAATTTCTTCTTCTTATAATAATATTATATTTATTTTTTATTTAGATAATTGATTAAATATTATAATTCATTTTCTTAAAGCAAATAATGAAATTCAATTAATTATTGATTCTCCTCGAATTCCTCAATTGATTTTTTATTTTTTGATTCGAGGTTTTTTGAAGGTTTTCCTTTGTAATTAATACTATTTTTAATATTAATTCTAAGGTTTTGATTATTGATATTTAATTCTTTTAACTATTCAAAATTGAATTGAGATAAATCTTTTTCTAATAATCCTATTTCCTTTAAGTTTCTTTCCAAAATTCCTACTTTTTGAAAATCTTATCTTCTATTTCTAAATCTCATTTATTTCTTGTTTTTTATAATAAATAATTTCTTTTTTTGAAAACAATCTTGGGATATATATTTGTTTTTTCTATAAATAAAATATAAATTATTCTTTTTATATCTTTTCTTTTTATTAATATTTAAATTATTTGGTTTTATATAATATTATTCGATATCATTCAATTCTATTAGATCATTGATATTATGATATCTATTCTGACAATAAGGTTTTTAGAACTTTCTATTTTCTTAAATAATTCCTTTTTTCTTTATTCATTGTTTATAAAATCGATTATTAATAAAAATAGAGATTTCGATTAATTCAAAAAAATTAAATAGTTTCAAAGCTTTTGTTAGTTTGTTTTTGATAATATCTTTCAATTCTTTATAAAATTGCAACTTTAAATAATTATCATTTCAAATAATATATCCAATATATTATTGAAATTTAACAATATAGATTATAACTAATCTAATCTATTTGAATTGTTACAATACTTTTTCAATTATATAATCAGAGTTTACTTCCCCGAATATCTTATCGAATTTTTATTTGAACGATTTATAATTAAGAAATAAACAATGAATTTCAGATTTTATATTTTTGTTTAATTGATTATCAATAATCTTGATCATTAGATTATTGAAAAATAATTCAATTCAATTGAATATAATTCCTCGAAAAAAGAAAATCAATTACAAAATCCTTTATATAAAAGTTAAAAAAAGTTGTTTATTAAAAATATAATAGAAATCAATTTGTATAATAAAAACTCGATGTTTATTATAATTTTTATAAAATAAATCAAAAATGGATATTTAAATTGCTTATCTATATTTTATAATAACAATAATCTAAACAAAAACTTCGATTGAATTAAATAAAGATGATTCGATGGATTATTAATTGAAAACTATTGTATTATATATAATTTAATTATAATAATACTCAAAATATAACAATTTAATTAAAACAATAATTACCTTAGATTTTTATATAATTGATAATTATAAATTAAAACTAATAATTATTAATTATTTATTCGAAAATAAATATATTACTAAATCAATTAAAATATAAATAAATTAATTGATAACTAAATTGAATATAAAATTTCTAAATTATAAAACTATTTTGATTATATACTAATCCATTTTGGAAATCTCCAAAAGTTTACATTTCTAAAGGCTTTAAGAAATCTATAAAAGTCTATACTTTTGAAGATTTTATTATATAACTAAAATCAGATCATATATCCGAACTTGCTGAAGATAAAGAGATTATACGAAACAATTGCTATATAAATTTGTATACAAATTGCTTTGCTTTTTAACAAGATTAAAGCTTATAGAGACAGGTTGACTGTTACCTCGTAACACTCTATAAAATGATTTCGTAACAGTATAATAAAAACTTGATATTTGTTATAATCTTTATAAAATAAATTAAAGATGAATATTTGAATTGTTTATTTATATTTTATTGTTATAATAGTTTATATTAAGATTCTGATTGAATTGAAGGAAGATAATTCAATAGATTATTGATTAAAAGTTATTATATTATATATAATTTAATTGTAACAATACTCAAAATATAACAATCTGATCGAAATAATAATTACTTAAGGTTTTATATAATTAATAATTGTAAGTTAAGATTAATAATTATTAGTTATTTATTCAAAGATGAATATATTATTAAATTAATTAGAATATAAATAAACTAATTGATAATTAAATTGAATATAAAGTTTTTAAGTTATGAAATTATTTTAATTATATATTAATTTTTTTTCCTTGTATACTAGTTATATTAATTGGGTTAATATGACTAGTATTCTTATAATATTAGTTTTGCTAGCTTGATTAGCAAAGTTAATATATCATATAATTGAAGATCAGATTATATATCCGAGCTTGTTGAAGGTGGAGAGACTATATAAAGCGGTTGCTATACAAATTTGTATACAAATTGCTTTGCTTTTCAAGGAGGTCCAAGCTCATAAGGACAGGTTGACTGTTACCCTGTAACATTCTATAAAATGGTTTTGTAATATATAACTATTAATTATATAAAACCTCAGACAGCTGTTGCCTTGATTAGATCGTTATAATATATTAAAGTGTAAATAAAATATCAATTTGTTTTGATGATTAAAAATTAAGTGTTTTTTAAAATAATAATTATAATATTTATAATAATAACATTATTATTATTATTATTATTATTATTATTATTATTATTATTATTATTATTATTATTATTATTATTATTATTATTATTATTATTATTATTATTATTATTATTATTATTATTATTATTATTATTATTATTATTATTATTATTATTATTATTATTATTATTATTATTTTGAATTAAATGAATTGAAAAAAGCTTTAAGTTAAATTTGTTTAAGATTATAAGATTTATATCAAGTTTTTTGTTTGATTATTTATTATGATATTTATCAGAGTATTTACCAGGGTATTTTAAACCAATTAGATTATCAAAATTGTAACTTATTTTATAATATATAAAAGTCTTATAATAATTAAATAAACAAAATTAATTATATTCTTTTGAATATATAATTAAAGAAATATAATATTACAATTCACAGTTTTCATTATAATAATATTATTGATATCAATGATTTCTAAACCGATTATATAAAGGGTATGATTTAACTATTGCTTTTAAAGATTCTGATTATCTAAGTTTAGAATCTCAGGATTTCTAAAATAAGTATTTTAAACAATTATAATAGAATAGAATAAATGTTCTATTTGTTTGTTTGAAATAAAATAATCATTTTAAAGGATATTATATTTTAGGATTATAGTTTCTAAAGGAAAGCTTCTAGGATAAATGTTTTAGAAAAGAAAAGATTTTAAAATAGAAAATGCTTTAGGATCAATTATATAATATGCTAACTTTATTAGTATAACGATCTAATTGAGGCAGTGGCTGTCTAAGGTTTTGTATAATTGATAGTTATAAATTAAGATTAATAATCATTGATTATCTATTTGAAAATGAATATATTATTAGATCAATTGAAATATAAATAAATTAATTGATAACTAAATTAAATACAAAATTTTTAAATTATAAAACTATTCTAATTATATATTAATAAATATAAAAAAGTTTTATAAAGTTTTAAAATTTCAAAAAGCTTTTAAAGCTTTAAAAACTTTTGAAGTTCTCAAAGTTCTTTATTATATGATTAAGATCAGATTATAGATTCGAGCTTGTTGAAGATAAAAAGACTATATGAAATGATTGCTATACAAATTTGTATACAAATTGTTTTGCTTTTCAAGGAGGTCCAAGCTTATATAGACAGGTTGACTGTTGTCTCTCAACACACTATAATCTTAATCGTAAATCGTGATACTATCCTAGGATCCTAAGCTTAGATAATCAAGACCCCTGAAAGTAATAGTTAAATCACACCTCTTTTATAATCAGTATATAAATCACCGATATCAATAATATTACTATAATAAAAATTATAAATTATAATAATTATATTATCAAAGTAATATTAATAATTATAAATAATTAATTTATTATCTTTATTAATAAATCTGATAGAATTTGAATAATCTTTAAATTTTTTTAATTGATTTTATTTTATTTTATTCCTGATTTAAATATAAAATAATTAATATAATTCTTATAATAATAATAATAAATTTATTATTTCAATTTTAAATAATCTAAATGTTTAAAGGTATTTCAAAGAGTGTTTATATAATTTACAAATTTATTTTATATTATAATTTCAAGAATTTAATTTGTTCCCTTTTTTTAATTTTATTATATTAATATTTTAATATTAATAACTATTCAAAATTTAAAATATAATATAAAATAATAATAAATTGTTTTTAAAAAGAAATTGTTTTTCTAATTTTCTAATTAAAATTTTTAAAATTTATATTTTTATTTTTTAAATCTTTTTATTTACTTTATATTATAATTTTTTTATTAGATGAATCTTATAAAACTTTAAAATAGTTTTGTTTTTATTAATTGAACATTGAAAATCTCAAATTTAAATTAATTATAATATTGATTTGTAACAAGTCCTTGATCTCTCATCCTCTTTGAGATAATACCCGCGTGCTATAATGAAATGTTGAGCAAAGTCTGGTCATATGACACGGCACTAGGCCAAGCGGGGAAGATCACAGGAGCTTAATATAAACTACTCCCACTTCCATTCATCTCTCAAATAAAAATGCGTTTCCTATCTTTAACTTCTTAAATCAGTGACATAATACTATTTCATTCTGGTCGTGTGCTTGATATATTCGCTAGTAGCATATGCTCGCTCGATCATGCTACACAATATAATCAATTGTTAGAGATGAGTCTGCAAAAGCGGGACTTGTACTAAATTCCAGGCTTCTGCCCTTTCCGTATAGAGTGGAGTTTATAGTGGAGTTTATAGTGGAATGCATGTTTCAATGAGCATTTTTCAGCTTTTACGTTTGCAGGGACTATTCACGAATCACACTTGTAGAAATTTCACTTCCAGATGATCAGCCAATTAGATATTTGGGGCTCATAAGTCTATCACACTCTAAGCGACCGAGTAAGTCCATCTAATCCCCAAAGGAAAACATCAATCTTGACCCACAACGCAGTCCTCGTCCCACCTAAGTGACCTAACAAGTTAGGCTTTCGTGCAAATCATCGACGAAACCTATCAGCGCCAGGATCATTCACAGACACGCGCCCCCATCCAGCATATCAAAATCTACTATTCCGAGCCCCCAACTACAATTCCTTCAAGTCCCATGGTACACGCTTAGCAGACACTTAAAGTTCAACACGATCAATCTTTATGGTAGTTGGTTTTGGGCCACTTGCTGGAAGGGAAGAGAATTTTGGACCAAGTTTTCGACCATTTGCTGGAGGGAAGTGGAATTTCGAACCACCTTCTTGGTAGGAAGAGAGTTGTGGACCACAATACATCGTACTGTTAAAACCCGCCGTTGGGCCAATGAGAAGATGACCAGTCCAAGAAACCGAGTAACTAAGGTCGAGGCACTGGGTGCAGGAAATCTTGTTCGCCGTGTCTTGGGTATCTAAGTGATTTTGGATGGCTGCTTGGACAGTTTTCACTTCGCAGTTGTAGCAATCGACTCCAGGAGTATATATCCAGGAAACATCTTCCACTGAGTTGTTGATATCAGCAAAAACCTTTAATATTGACTCCTTCCTGGAGGACGAGGATTGGAGATTTGGATTCTGTGCGTCAATTTCGGAAAAGCAGCTTTCAGATATCTTCGCAGCTCGAATCCTGCCGAAAAAGAAACGACGGGTTCAATATAAAAGAATAACTTACAAGAGCCAGAAGACTTGCGACAGCGACGTTTGGCTACTATAGCATCAACAGAATGCATCATGATTTGGATGCAGACAAGGATGGCACTGATAATGAGCGTCCAAGTTAAACTAATTTTAGCCATTGTAGAAGGAGAAGAGTGAGTTAAAACACCAGAGGTATTAATGATGAGAATCTCTCCAGCATTCCGAAGGAAGTACGGACTTTTATACACGATAGCAGGCTACGCTTTCAGCGAGCAGCATATGGAACTAATCCATACTGCTGGCTTTTCCTCGGTCATCTTGCGTAGGGATCCTCTTCACGGGTAGAACGGGTTGGATTATTAGTGCATGGGATATTCCCATTGGCTTGCTGAGAGTCGATGCTAGGATTTAAAACGTGCAGCGTCAATTAAAGTTTCATCAAGCCTTGCAGATATCCTCATGATGAAGAATGAGGTCAGATGGAGAATTAGGCACCTAGTTACAACGATTTGAAGTCGATGCTTTTGAAAACTCTTAGCGGACCAGCCTTATAAAACGGACGAAGTAATTTCACACCAAAATATCTCAAGGTAGGGGAGGTAGGAAGTACTCTTTTACAACTTTTCCAAAATCTAAACATGAGATTTAACTGTTGACTCCAAAGTATAATATTGAAGAATATTAGTTTTTGATTCGACTATTGGCCAGGGTGTCGCGATTTACTTCGTCCATTGTGCACCGTTGTCAACACTGCCCCATTTTCAGCCGAACACCCGAAACATCTCCACTAAGTGCCCGACCCGCGGAATTGGTACGCATTCTAACTGGTGAAGTGTCTCCTTTTAGAAAACTTTTTGTGGCACCATTGGGCAAAAGCAAAATGTCATTCATGAAGATCCATTTCTAGAATATTGATTGTAGTTTTAAGCGAGCTCTTTTGGATGCTAAGCATCACATGATCGATCTATGACAGATGGTGTCTTGATGTTATCTCATCCTCAGACCCTCTGGTTCGATTATATTTTAATATCATTTTATAGTAAATACATGGATTTTTATGAATTATTGTGTAATTAGAATTTGAGAAAAGATAACTTTTTAAAGAGTTTAAAAGCTTTTGATTATTTTTTTGATAAGTAATTATTTTTATTTATTAAAAGTATTTTAATAATATATTGTTAGAGTCACACACAGCAAAGAATCAACTAGTCTTAAAACAGCTTTAAAGCTTTTCATTGCCCTTTCTAAATTAGATAAATCAATCTTTTTATAAACAAAAAACAAAGGTAATTTTGAATCGAATACAATCTGATATATAAATATCAATAAAAGATTTATATAATATTCTTTTAGATTAAAGGCTTGGTGTTTCATTAGTAGAACACTGAGATTATATAAATAAAGTTATAGTCTATAATATATATAGGTTTTCAGATTATAATCTAGTAGTGTCTATAATATATATTTTATTTTTTCAAATTAAATTTATCAAAAAAACAATTATATTATTTAAAAATCTTTATTTTTTAATATATTTTGTATCTGTTTAAGTTTTTTGAATTGTATAATTGATTTAAAAGATTATTATTTATTTTATTTTTTTAATATCTTTTGTTTTATATTATCAATTATAATAATCTCAATATTCATATACTAATTATGAAAATAATATTAATTGAATTCTTTTATTAATTGAATATATTAGTAATTTGTTAATTGTATTATTAATAAAGTTGATTAAAATAATTATGATTATTGAATTAATTAAGATAATATTTTGAATGAAAATAATAATAAAATAAAATTTTTTAAAAGTTTAAAAGATTATTTTTTAAAATTAAAAATATTTAAAAGTATAAAGGATTATTTAGAAAATATCAAAAGATGATAGAAATTGAAATAATAATAATAATGGTTTAAAAAGTTATTTTTATTCAAAATCAAATATTTAAAATACTAAATTGATAACTTAATTATAAAAAGTATTTAATCGTTTGAAATCAATAATTATAATCTTTTTTCAATAATTTATTGATATAAAAAAAATCAGATTAATTTAAAGATATTCAAGATATTAATTAATTTATCAAAAAAGATTATGATTATTGATTTTGAAAAAATTGAATATTTAATATTATAAAATATTACATTTTTTAATCTTGGCTTTTTAATTTTCAGTAATATACATCGTAAAAGTTATAGGTCGAGATATATATATCTTAATATATTATAAAGAGGAATTGAAAAAGAAAGTTGATTAGATTATACCAGGGGCCTCCTGTAACGATCTGGTCGAGGCAGCGGCTGCCTGAGGTTTCGTATAGTTGGTAGTTGAAGGTTAAGGCTATTAGTCATTGGCTATCCATTTGAAAGTGAATTCGTTACTAGATCAATTGGAATATAGATAAACTAATTGATAACTAAATTGAGCATGAAACTCTTAAACTATAAAAATATTCTGATTATATACTATATCCTTCCGGGAGCCTCGAAGAGCCTACATTTCTGAAAACTCTAAGGAGCCTAAGAGAGCCCACACTCCTGAAAGCTTTATCATATGATTTCTATCCTAGTAAGCTAATCCTAGCAATCCTTTCCTACCGTAATTGCTTTAGGATAATCCCCTTCCTAGGATAGTTGATATCCTAGGGAAATTGTCCTAGGATAAATATTCTAGAATAATCTTTATTCTAATCTATTTTGTAGAGTTAGGACATTTGTTCTATTACATTATAATTGCCTAGAACACTAATTCTAGGATTCCCAGGTTTCTAGGTTCCCAATCGTAGCAATAAGGAACCCCCCTATAATCGGCGGTTAAATCACCAACACTTACAATACCACTATAATCTTAGATGTAGATGATTTGTGACACCTCCCCCCCCTGGACCTCTGGCTTTTCGAGAAAGTCTAATAAAAATTTAAGTTTTAAAAAGTTTATAATAAATTTAAATATTGAATATATATATTAAGATGCAGATAGAATATCAGCTTGTTTTTGATAATTGAAAATGAAATATTATTATTATTATTATTATTAATTGAATAAGTTTAATAAGTTAAATTGAATGATTTCAATTGAGTTGAGTTGAAAAAAGCTTTAAATCAGATTTTTTTGAGATTGTAAAGCTTGCTTATATCAAGCTTTTTGTTAGATTATTTACCAGGGTATTTTAGACCAATCATATTGTCAGGATCGCGACTCACTTAAGCGAGTTTCTCATTTTCTATCATCTACATCAAGTAAACCTCATATATAGCAAGATTTTAATATCAGCAAGCCGATAATAATAATCATATATAAATATATTAAATTATTAGGTTTTTATAATAATATAAAATTTATATATAAATTAAAAATTAAAAATCAATTATTAATATTATATTGAAAAATATTGATAAATAATATAAAATTTATACAATTTATTAATAATAGTATAATAAATATATAATTCAAGTTTCATTAAATTATATCAGTTTGTGTAAAGTTATCAATAGGTGAAAATCATAGTTTTTGATATAAAAGAGTGGTCGAAATGTGGGGTAGAGGATTTAACGATAGAAATGAAGATTTTGACGACGAGTAGGACTCGGAATGATGTTTCGTTTGTGCTTAAACCTTCAACAGACTTGATATAGGAATTTATTAGATTTTAGCTGAAGATATAGTCTTCTCATGTCTTCCCCATATAAGCCTTAAGTGATGACTGAGTGCTCAGCGAGCACTACGCCGTTTCTCTTCGAGCTTTTTTTCAATTCAGTTTACATGAGCAATCCTTGAAATCAATTTTTTGTCAACATCTCTTGCAAAATTGAGTTCAAGTAGCATCGCGATGTTGAATTGCTGCTACTTTCTATCTACCCGTATTTACTCGAAGTGTTGCTCTAAAACAGCACCTTTCTGACAACAAGCCCCCCTTGCAAAAGATCGTCCTTTCAGACTAAAACAGAACATAACTTGTGCAGCTTTAACACCCCAACCACAAAAACTCTGAAAACACTCCATTTTCACTACCAACTCAACTATGCCAGCCCACTGTTGCTTATGACAATAGAACAAGACTAGCACTGCAAACGCTGGTTAGAACCAACCACAACTCCATCAAGTTCCACTAAATGCGAGACTAAGCGCAGCTATATCCTCATAGGTTATTTTTCCCTCCGGATGTGCACTGTGACCAACCGAGTGACGACCCGCAGTATGCGCCACTGTTGAAGCTGCCTGCTGGTCCAATAAGGAGATAGCCCTCCCAGGTGCCACCGTGGCTAAGGTTGAGACACTGCGTTCCGCACAGGGAACCTTGATCGACGTTCTCCAAGTGCTGCTTGATAGCTCCCTGGATAGTGTCTTCTTGGGCAGTTGTGTCACAGTTTCTTCCACTTGTGTAATACACGAATGAAATACCATCCACTAAGTTTAAGTTAGCGTAGAACTTCTAAAATTACTGTTCAATCAAGAGTAACATAACTTACATGATCCAGAAGACGTGGCGCAGCTGCCTGAGTCTGATAAAGACTTGATAAGAGCCCCTGTGGACTTGGCCCAAGAAACGAGTATATTGACGATGTTCAAGCAGGCCTTTGATAACGTCAGTCTCATTTTGGTTACAGAAAGTAGGAATCCTTAATGCCTGGGAGATGATTCATCAGAATCTTGCTAGTACTATACGATGCCTTTCTAAAGGCACTCAAAATTCACGACTTCACGGAGTGCAATGAATATCCTAACAGATAGAGAAAGGGAAAATGAATTACGGTACGTACTGAAGCAGTTTGGATCGCTTGACAAACGGTGACGTCTGTGCGAGGAGAGAGAGAAGCGTCAGTAACTGCCGTGTTGAAGGGCACCTCCAAATAATATTTGATCCATTTGTCGGGCATTGGCTTCCCCTCGATGGTTGAAGTGGTGTCAACTGCAAGCGACAGGCCTGACGTGACGCAATGCATCATGAGAAGTGTTGTGACTGCAAAACGCATGTTGGGCTAAATATAAAGAAGAAGACCGGTGCGATTCGCTGCGAGGATGCAAGATGGTGAAAGTGTGATGAAGGGAGCTGTGGTGAAATGACAAAACCATGGGCGAAGGACTGATATTTATACTAAATAACAGTCATGGTTTCAGTGAGCAGCTTAGCAGCCGCTACTAGTCATTACGTTGGCTTCTCTCCGGCATCTGCATTCGGATCTTCTGGCAAAATTTGCTCTCCTGGATCTGCTAGACTTATTCATGGATCTGACTGACATCCATATTTCATATCTCGTCACGCCAGATTAGGCATCAGCACCGAGACCAGGGAATAAACTCCCATCGATGCAGACAATGGGAGAGAACTTCACAGGGTTCTTTTAATACAACCTTCGTCACCATACAGTATTATTTTGAGGACCTTTTACGTTTAGAGTGTTGAGAACTAACTTGATCTCTTCACATAATGCTCAATAGAGTTGAATAATGTAGGCCATGGCTCAGTGAAATAAATTCCTCGATACTAGTTTTCTACATTCACTATCCGATCAGAATCTACTTTATTATGAAGGGATTTTTCGTCCCTAAGAAACTAGGCAAAGCAAATTTGTTAGTTGATAGCAAGCTTAACTGCTCCTCACTTGCCCAAAATCGAACTTTTACCTCTTCCCAACCCCGCCGCCCCCTTCCCCCTCCCTCCCTCCCTCTCCCCAAAACAGTAGATTCTTGCAAAGCCTTTCCAACATGTTTGTCTCCATTATTGAAGCCCCTCCTATGATTCCCGGCCTCGAATTGATTTGACTGCAGCTTCGACTGGTAATAGCTGCCTGTCTGGCCCACGGGTTTTCCTGAAATGGCTATCCATTGACCGGTTATCCATAAAAGGTTCCGTGGTTGGAGTGGCAGGAAAGAGTAGTGGATGTGGACAGCTTCGATCTTTGCACCTTACAGGTCATCACGGTTGACTTATGGATTTATATGCGGAGTTTTGGAATATTTCCAACAGTTTGGAGATGAAACAAACTTTTTAAAAACATATCTCTAGCCTTACAGCTTGCCATGCTAATATCTGTTGTCCCTCCACTTGGTGGAGCCAGGCCCGAGAGAATGGTATCGTCTAGCTACCAAATTCAAGACATACTAAGACTATTTCCACCGCTACTTGTGCGGTCAGAAAGCATTTCAAACTCCACTTTAAGTATACCGTAAGATGGTTGTCTCCAAAGAATACTGGATGAAGTGGGATATACGGTTTGGCATGCACGAACACTTGTACGACCAAAAGGTATGCAATTCCAAAAGTCTATACATATACACCACAAGATAGTAGAGTGTAAAAGTAATAACCTATTTTCTTTATTCTACATATTGGACTTAATGATCATATTCAAAATCATTGAGCTGTGAACTGCTTATTTAAGCAGACACAATAGTTGTGACATAATTACTCTCACACAAGTTGAGTCAGTCTATGAAAGTTGCAATATTTTTTCTAGGAGGGGTTTTATCAGACCGTTACTAGCTATTTTCTTACTCGTCTGCACAATATTCATTTTTCTTCTAGCGCCATAAGCGCGATTTCGACTTTACATAAGTGAACGCAGGCTCCACCAACCAATTACACAGAGGGACTCTTGTGGCCAAAAAGTATGGGACATATTCCTGTGCAGGCTTGAATTGTTTTGTAGGGCTATTTGGGATATCTAAGAATCCACTAGGTCTGGACTAGACATAGTAAAGCTTTTGAAGTAGATTGCATATACGCGGGTAGTTCCCTTGTTTTTCTGTGCAGATCCTTAATTGACAAAGCGGAATCATAAGAAATAAGCAATTCCATTGGTCCTATGTTGGCTTTCCCCCCGCCAAATTGAAGCCTTTATAAGGAAGGTGTTACACTTTCTCTGGCCGTCAGTCTGTGGTTTTGGTCATGTTTCATCATTTCATTGTTGGCCACATTACTCGTACAGTCAGGAGGCATAAGGTTCTCCACTCGGGCAAATACCACAATTCGATAGGCTGTGTTCATGCGGTCAAACAGTACATCACACTCCATTGAAGCAAAGGCAATTGTCCCTTCTATAATTTACCATATTTGTAGTATATACCTACTTAACAATGGAGTATGATTCAACTTGTGGCTATATAAGGACAAAGAGAATGTGAGCTATAATTGAGTAGATGGTCTTATACTTTCTGACAGTACGGATATAGGAGAATATTTGATATTATACGAGTATCCTCCACCCCATACTCCAGTATAAACTCCACTTTTTATGGGATGGGCCGAAAATTACGGAGACGGGAACCCCCACATCTCATCTATTGAGTTGAGTTTCTATTGGTTACCGACTCGTCGGTACTCGTGTAGCCAGAAAGTACAAAACTCCTTCCTAAACTGGGATAATTTGCGCTAGTTTGACAAATGAAATCCACTCCACTCGTATAAACTTGATAAACTATGTCTGAGTCTAGCTTTATTTACTTCTAGCTTGTCTGGCTTGTGTTCAGATTTCCGAAACGTTGACGGGTATTAAGCAAAAGTGGACGAGAAAACTCTTCAACATTATCCACTTTCTTGGTTGTGTTATTCAGCATCCCAACTTGAAATCAACGGATTACACCCAAACAGAAAACATCAAGCTCATACGGTATGTCATCCTATTGTGCCATGTTATTTCCGGCCAATTTCAGAATGATATCAATGAAATGCTCACCAATACTCGACTTAATGTAATCTACTCTATGATCTTATCGTGTTGAGTTCAAAAAGCGGATCTGTACTTTCTGGCTACACAGGTACCACACTCGACTTGAAAGCACATACCCTAGGATGGCATTTGATAGGGCTATTAGAGGCCTGTACATTAGTGGTATGCAGTATGCTTCTGGGTCAAATCGTGCGCTTTGAAGGTATGCAGTCACGTTTTACCGGAAAGTATAGCACATTCTACTTATGTGTGTAACACAAGACGATAAGCTATGACAAAGAGAGTTAGCGTCCTATTAAATGGAGTGTTAGACAGGAGAAGTACAAGGGAATGGAACTACGGCAACTAAAACCGGCAATCATCCGATATGGTGGAGAATTGTGGCTTCTGTAGATCCATTCTAAATTTCTAATGTTGTAAGCGCGGGCTAATCGGTGAAAGGGTTTGCTATTCTTGCTTACAAACTTACAAACTGGAAAGTTATGAGAAACACAAGTAAGGTTCCCTACATTAGCTTTGTACACTAAACCAATTGGGGCTTCTAAACCCATCTTAAGTGATTGATTAGCCCAACCCGAATAAAGCCCAGCTGTTCAGCTTATCGACCCGGTATGGCTGCCAGTACATATAGTCGTTACTTGGTCCGTATCTACTGTGATTTTCTCAGTAGACCGGTCTCAGCAACACGGTAACATTATGTCGTAAGTTTTTATCTTCAGGCAAATCTTGTCTGTATTCCCGCTAGACAACGATCTAGATGAACTAATATCTCAGCAGAGAATCCATTTTGCGCAAGATGGAGCGACCTCCACTGTACATTATCGCGGTCTCTCACCTTATCTTACTCTTGATACATAAATGGACGGATCCTGATGAAGAAAGTGCAAAGTCACTGCTCGATTGTCATATATGGAGTAGTATAATGCTGTGTTACTATATTTTTCGGCGGTAAGTTGTTTGCTCGCTCTTACTGTAGAATGAATAAGTATTAAGGCTCGAATGTTTAGGTTAGAATGGCCGGCAGAACCGTCACCAGTAGGACATTTACCACACGCGTCAGTGGAGAAAGCAAATGGATGATGTCTGAAGCAGTAGCCTTCAAGATAATTTGGGAAGGACAATTGATGTGAAGAGCCTTGAGGAGGAATTTCAAGTATAGTTTAGAAATAGCTAATAGTCATGTGTCATTTGTCCGTGTTCGACTAGTGCGAGTTCAATTGTTTTTGGCAATATATGGACTATGGTCTCCTTGCGAAGTAAGCACATTGTGGATCCGTTTAACAAATCTTTGGTGGATTTTGCAGTAAATAATAAGCAGAGACAAAATTTTATACTTAAAGTGCCAAAATGAGACTCCTCGTTTGTTTGAATCTTTAACACAAAGGACTGTTAGTGATTGTTGTTCCCATTTTTGCAAATTTCAAAAAGGTGAAATCATATTGCACTAATATCCACTAACCAAAAGGTCAGTATAACTGCATGTCCTTTATACATAATCTAGACTCTATCGTTCCAAATTCGTTACTTCGTATATTTAAAGCTCAATGATAGAAATTTAATCCATATAGCTTGATAAATCAACCACGACCGCAGTATATTTCTGCTGGTATAATTTTTCCTGGTTCTATTTTGGGCTCTATGGTGATTAGCTATGTGTGAGTTGATATGAGTGAAAGAAAAAGCATAGACAAGCCGAGAATTAGGGGGAGAAAGGAAAGAGTGTATTAAAAAATGAAGACTACTTGCCAGCGGTCGAAAACCCTGCATGTCTGAAACTCTCACCCATATCCACTACCATACCCAAAACATTAACTAACGATCACAAATAAACTAAGAGAGAAATAAACTCACAATCACCCCACTGAATTCCCCCATTCCCAAAATCCTCAAGTTCGCTTGTACTAGCACAGCAAGCTCTAATACTGCCATACATTTGGGGAATAAAGCCTTCTCTCCTGTACGTAAAAGCCCACCAACAGACAGCTGTCTGCCCTACCATCAATAGCGAACTCAGGAAAATTGGATATGCCGCATATGTGACATGATAGACCGAGTGCTCGATTCCGTGCATTGGATCCGCATAAACGGATTCGACGGTTGAGATTGATTGGCCCAGGAGCCAATGCATGGCTGCTGCAAAGGTCATGAGGGGAAGGAGAATCTTGGGAGGTAATTGGAGAAAATAAGATTGTTCGAACGCGGTTCCGCTGCAAGATCGTAGTGTCAGCAATGCGTATTGAGGGAATATTTTGGTGGAGATTGAGAAAAATGAGGAATTGAAGCTGTGTTAAGATAGAGTTGCCACGGGTTGTAACCCTAAAATTGTAGATTTCAATAACCGAATTTAATTCATATTAAAAAAATTATGAAATACTGAATTAATTTCGACCATTGAATGATTTACGAACATTGAAAGCTTATATCTCGTATGCTAGACCGGGAAATTTGATACTCTAGTTGGGGAGTGAGAGTAGAAGATGCAGACAGAGTGAAGAGAACAAACTGAAGTGGTTGAAACAGAGAACTTGAAGCGAACTTACGATACTATCGTTGCCCTAGGCTTTTTGCGCTGGAGCTCGAAGGTACCCCATTCGTGTTCCATATATATGAGAGTTACATTATAAATGAGCAACAGATAGAGTAAACTAAAAAGAAACTGCGCTCCGTTGGAGATAGCGAAAGCGAGTAATTCACTACTAATTTTATCAGGTGGAAGCGATGCTAGAGTAGCACTAGAAGAGAAACCCCCCCGGGTACCGTAGTTTTCTTTGAGAGCTTGCGAGAGGGAAGTGCCGCAATACTCACGGTACCAGTAATTATCTGAATCATTATACTTGCAGTATCTGTGGTACACTGATGCCCGATCAGCAAATTTGGTAGCGAGCATTACAGAGACGCCAACCATAGCGAAGGAACAGAACATTAGGATCAACATTTGAGTTATGGCGGTAGAACCGAGACTCGAGAGGAGTGAGCGTTTGGATTTTATTGCTATGGTTGGATGCGGTAGACCTAGAGGCAGTGGGCACATGAGACTTGGACTCCAGGCCTTGGAGTTTAGGAAGGGTAGAATTTTGAAGGAAAAAAAAACCTCACCGGCGGCTTTGTCAGTTTCGTTAAATTTTTTGCATTTCTAGGCAAAGACGAGGTTAGTTGAGTACGAAAGATGTTGATAATATCACCTTATCTGACAATGACCTATATAGTCACCACTAGCCGAAGGAACTGGATCTTTGCAATGTTTATGGCATCGATGTGTCACCTTATGTCGATGGCCATCTCCAGAATTGAGTAAACATTCATTGTGAATCTTCAAATCGGGGTTTATGACAGAAGCAACTATAACGTCGCCGTATGTCAAACAATTATTTTTGACTCTATGCCTTGCCAGATAATTTAAGCCAATCATGTATATCGCCTTTATCAGGAGGCATCCGAAGAGCACTGGTAATTGTGAGTGTCTAGCTTCATAAATTTTGGATGAGAGTACATACTAAAACAAGACTGCATTCGAACATTCAGTCGACATTTCTTTGGTCTTGGCTCGCCCAATACGCAAGCAGCACTCAATAGTAGGCTACAATTTCCTATTCTATATTCGCCAGTCCCGATAACGATATAGTCGACCTCTTTCAAAGCTTCATAGACAGATGCTGTCCCTTTATATGCAGTACAATTTTTATTGTAGGTAACAGAAACGGTTTTGAAAGATGCTGTTTAAGTCAGCTGTATGTATTATATATGAGTTGCAGATGTCGAGGTTATCTTACTAGATTTTCCGGGCATTTCAACTTTGTATTGATCACTTAATTGAGACATGTTGTTAGGCAAAACGTAGAGCCCGGCTCTCAAAGAAGTCCACTATTGTATTTATATTGGTTTCGTTGGTTTTCTCCTTCGCACTTGAAAATCTGGGGGATTTTGGGCATTCTTGGCTGTGGATATAAATCGTCGCAAGACTTTTAACGAACTTCAAAAATCATACAACTTACACATGCAGAATCGTAGAATGTCATCAAGCCATGTGGGCCCAGATCATTGAGAATTTGAGTGGAATTGAGACCGACGTCGGAATAATTATAAGTTACATTCGTTGGCATCTCGATATAGAACGAGGAACCAATGACCGAGTTTGCGAGGAAATGGACTGGCTGCGAAATCATCAATGAAATAATCCCTTCGTCTAAGATCCGGCGAAACATACAATTGAAGTGATTATAAGCAATAACCATGATCCTCAAGCTTTTGCCTTTCCAGACTTTTTAACATTGATATTCAACGGTGAATTGAGACCGATCTTCGCGTCACTATAGTGAGACAGAATCCATGGAATTTTCTCAACTAACGGAGAGGTTATCAATTGTTGATAAGTGTTTGAACAACCCAGAATCATCGTCGCTGCAATATTAATGAAAAGATGAATAGCCTTTAAATGCATACCATTAGCAAACTTCCCAAGTCCATTTGTACGACAATCCACTCACAATATTCTTGCTCTCCATACCCTCACAACTTTCCCCATCCTTTCCACCAACACTCGTACTATGTTTATTCAACCGCCTATAAAAAGCTGGTAAATATGCAATCATAATGATAAACATAATAATCGCACAAAGAAACGTGAAACCCGCCATTGATCGCAAAGTACGATCTACCAACATTTGTTTCTTCCACCACCCGCCTTCTCCCTGTGCAAAACGTCCATCGAACGTAGACGAAGGGCGAGGTCTTGTAAATGCTGTCGAACTCATCCATATACTCCTAATTTTCGAGGTCACAGCGTTACCACTTCGTAGACGTGGTTCACTGGGTGAATCGTCTGTGAGACTTTGCCGGCTAATATCTCTTAGAGCTTGAAAATCGTGGGCAGAGGAAAGCAGTGGGTCCGAACGGGTGGCATAACTACCTCTGCCGTCCAGTAAGCATCGGGATGACATGCCATTATCGCAAGACGTGAAATCAATCGTTGCTTCCGATCGTTCGAGGATAGACTCTGGTCTTTGGGAAAGATCTGCTGTGGAGGATGTGCATTCTGTCCCAATATGCGAAGAATGATATTTCGGCGGTGAATCGTTAGTATTAGAGCTGTGAATATGGTAATCAACTATTAGCAAACAAGCTTTCAAAAACTTTCATCAGATAACAATCCATTCCCCTCAGTCAATGCATCGAAAGCAGGATTTGCGATAGTCCAGACTAGACTAAATTTAAGCCTTAAATGTTTGAAAAAAGCTCAGTAGTCAAAATGGATTTAGTCTTTCAACAGTTCTGAATATTCTAATTGAATCCACGATCGAAAGCTAACATTGATAAAATTTAGGCTTCCTTACCCAAAATCTAGCATACTTATATCTCTATAATCGTGATCCCAATCATCAAATAACCTTGAAAACCTGGTTGCCATCTCGACAGGCGCGTAGTTCTATAGCTTCAACTTCGAGTCCAGATGCGAATCGCACTTCTAGATTCTTAACAACAACAGGCCATACTGTAACTGTACAAGTAAAATAGGGCTGAGGATAAATAAACACAAAATGAAACAGACTTGGCAATTCCCAGGCCCAAGGAAATCTCGGCGGTCAGCATGCATATTAGCGGAACAAGAAATGATCGAATCCTACCACCTCTCTCCTATTTTGGCATACAAAACTTCACTTATGCGCGTGGGAAATTCAGGGTATCGACCCCAAGTCCATTTTGCTATTGTTGGAAGTTTCCATCTGCTGTAACGTGTAGTTCCACGAAACTGTCCCCAAGAGCACCTGGTCCAATCGGAAAAATTCGATAGATGTGGGACAGCCAGGATATGTCGTTAAAATAATGATAGCTTTTACTATTACTCTAACGGCTCTAATCAAACAACTCGCATATCAATGACCTAGTGTACACTTACAATTGATAATTAGATACAAATCCAATAGGCTCGCAAGCGCCAGCCTGCGAAAGTCGGTAGATCAACAGAATTCCCTATATGTCACCATGCAGTACCGACCTGCTTTCTCGCTAGAGACATAGTCGAAATCTAGCGATTTTATGTAAAACCACGCTTGGTATTATGATAAATTCAAGTAGTCTTACAATTGTAGAGAATTTCTGAAACACCTCCCCAAAAGCCCTCTCCTTTGTGTCCCGTTGTCTAATTCAGCCTAAAAGATCATTTCATTGCTAAATCTATATTGAAACATCCAAGGTTATTGTGTGATGTCTAAATTCAGAAGACTATTTTCGTTTATTTTTTGGTTTACCTCCTGAATATTTAACACGATGTGGTGGAGATTTGGTGTTGGGGGCCATGGGGCCGCGGCGGCGTACTGCTTGATTGCTTGGCTCAAATTTTAGGATACAAGGACTTGGCGTGATAGCTAAGGATTGTACCGCATATGTGATGTTTAGAAGTGGTGTAATATGTGAGGAAGCCCCCTCAAGAAACATTAAAAAACAGGTTAGAATTTGCGTTTCAAATCAAACCTAAGATACATCAACATTGTTACTTTACAGCCCTAAAGAAGGACTATTAAAAAGCTCAGAAATGCAATGTCGGATCCTTCCATTTATTTTTACATCAACATACATACATGCATCTAAAATGATCATGTCGAGTGAGGATCGCCATGAAGAAGAAAGGGATACAGGGGCGCCATTGTCGACCATTACGCTCACCCATATGGTATGAGAGACGGTGACCTAATTTATGACGTACACAACAAACACAGATCATGCTCACGTTCCCCGCCTCAATCATGAAAATAAGGGGTCTTTAGCCTCGGAATCTTACCCGCCAACTCCCCCTCTATGATATGAATCGCACGCTGCGTATCCCACAATCCCTCTCTGCCTGGTACCTGCGCCAGAATCTCAATTGCTCTCTTTTTGTGTTCAATATCTTTACTGCGAACTGCTGTATACACCACTGGAACAATAAGTCCAGTATCGACCATAAATCTTGGCATAGATCGGTAATTCCAATACGCTTTATCTTCACGAACTAGCTCCTCGGATAAATCAAGCATTTCTTCGAATTTGTACGCTGGTGTGTGCGATTCAGTAGCGTTCATAGAGAGGAGAAGGTGGTGGGATTTGAGGATTGATGCGCCACGGATGCGTATTGGTCTTTTAGCGAGGGGGCTTGTGGTGCCTGAAATTTCCGAAGTTTTTTCAGTGAATGCGTTGAGTCGATTGGACCAATTTTCTAACGCTACGTAATGGCTTCGTGCCATGGGACCGAATTCGCTAGTGACCATCTCTTCGGTAACGTGCCTCCAGTTTGTATGGCGTGTGTGCAATATGTCTGCGCCAAGAGTCCTTAATGCATAGCGAGCTTCTTCGAGAGATTGGAAAGGAGTGAATGATGAAGTTGAGCAACCGGCTCGTTTCATCGCTGCCCAGAAGGCTCCTCGGTCGACTCCAGCTTTGGGGTTCATGAATGCGGCGATTTGTCCTCCTAATACTAATAGCAGTGGGGAATAATCCCGTGCGCACTGTGCGGCGACTGATGAGGGAGCATTGGTGGCGTTTATGTCGTCGAGGATCCTGAGCCCGGACTTTAGATGGACTAGTCCTGCCGCTTGATCGCCTACGAGACAATCGAAACATATGAATAGGATGCAGGAAATTAATGTCACTTCTAATGAGTGGGGCTTGCGGACAATGGATTCACGCAATATCCGAATTGCTTTGGTGTACTGGCGAAAAGCGAAAGCTTGAGTTGGTGTTGGGTATTTGGCTGCTTGAGCTTGCTGGTAGGTTTCGATGTAGTTCTTGTGAATTGCGCCTAACGCGAGAATACAATGACGGATTGATGGTTCGACCGTAGCAGCTTGAAATATCCTTCTCTCCCAGAACTCAGTGGAGAAGTCTCCCGCAAACTCAGCCACGGTATAGGCACGAAAGAAGTCCAGAATAACCGGCTCTAGTGAATCCTGGAGAGCATTAGACTGCACAACCGTTGATATAGAAGTTTGCTTCTTCGTGCTGCTTGGTTTTTTCGGGTCTGTAATTATCTCATACCCATCACAGCGTCGTCCGGTAGAAGTACATCGCTTACAAAAGGGCTTCTCTTCTCCACATTTGACTCGACGAATCCTATAATCAGAGTCAGTAAAATATTCAGAATGACTCAAAAAAGTTCACTTACTTGCAAGTTCTGCAACCGGTTCGAACAGGAGTCCCACATATTCTATATCGACGTGGTGATTTTGGTTTAGCTCCCTTCGATGACTTTGTGGTCCCTGGACCTGATGATGAGGAGTAGTCGGACATGGAAACTTGGTTAGAAGATTCTTTGAAGAAGTCGACTTGGTTTGTATTTGGTAACCGAGAGAATCGGCCTAATTTTAGAACAATACCTTAACTCCAACATAAAAGCTTGTAGTCTTCAAGATTGAAGCAAGTATGGCGTCTGATTGAGATCAATTATAGCGCAACAAACGGCGTCTTAACATTATTGCATACTTGTTTTCCTCTCTTTAATTCGTCACTTTGCGAAGCTTCCATGGATATGCAGGTAATGCTGACCATCTTATCTTCGTAAGGCTTCCAGGCCCCATTCTATGTGCCATTAACAAGCGTCAGAATTGCCATCAGGATGTCAAAATCAAAGCTTGACAGACTGTTTAGGAATAAAATAGTACTAACTCGATCAGGATGCCTGGTACCCGCGCTTCGACTCAACCGAATGGAAAGCTTGATTGCGGCCATGGCTTACAAAACCTTAGTCATATAAGACGGCCCAATTATTTATCCTTCTTAATTTTTTATCCGTTCTTCAGCGATTATAAGTTGATGTCGGTCCCTGCAGGATACTACCCCTCATCAACCAAATGCCCAATCGCAAGAGAATAACCATTGCTAGCGACTACAAACTTTATTGATCCCTAGCTGACAGCCCTATAAGGAATGCGGAAGGTTCGGCCGGTAGTCTTATCCTTTTATTGCCAAGACTTTCCCGCCCAATGTGACCTGCCTCATGGTTTTGAGCCATGTTTTGGCCGTATATTGGTATGATGGCTGCCTCCATAACATCGTGATGCAGATCGGGTAATAATCTCACCACTGTATCGTTCCAATATATGAATCTCGTTTGCAGAATGCAGATTCCAGCCTCGTGTCCACACTTGTTGGTTCCATGTTGAGTAATCCTAGATCTTGAAGAGCGAAACTCAGCGCTGTCAGCGTACCAGTTCCCCTACTGCTCGTCCGCGCAATCAGTAAAAATACTGACGTCTTCTTACAAAACAAGCTTATATCAATGAATATGTTGATAATGCTTGAGTGATCTCAAAATTATGTGCCTGTCCGGTAATATCTCGGCGTTCGTAATTCGGGGTCGTTTCGGCAACCACAATCCTGCTTTTACTTTCAAATAAATATAATAACGAAAAATAAAATCTATTAATAATTCATATCTTATAAATTTAAAATAAAGAGATAAGTTAATTAGAATTAGATTTAAAAAAAAAATTTAATTATCAACTTGTGGATACTATAATCTTGTTGTATATATAAAGTTTATTTAATAAAAAAAATAAAAAAATAAACTTGTTTAAATGAGTCGCGATCCTGACAATCTGATTGGTTTAAAATACCCTGGTAAATAATCTAACAAAAAACCTGATATAAACAAACCTTATAGTTTCAAATAAATCTAACTTAGAACTTTTTTCAATTTAATTAATTAAAATCATTTAATTTTAAATTTATTTAATTCAACTTTATTTATTCAATTCAATTTTATTTATTCAATTCATCTCATTTAACTTATAATAATAATAATAATAATAATAATAAATATTAAATAATATTATAAATAACATTATAAATATTATAATTATTATTTTTAAAAAAAATTTCAATTTTTAATTATCAAAAATAAGTCGATATTCTACCTGCACTCTAATATATATTCAATATTTAATTTATTATAAACTTTTTAAAACTTAAATTTTTATTAGACTTTCTCAAAAAGCCAAGGGTCCGGGGGGCGCAGGCCCTTGGTATTTTATTATTATTTTAATTGATTTTTAAAATTTTAAAATTTAACAATCTTCAAATCAAATTAAATTATAAAAAGCTACACAGAATAGATTATAACCTATTAATATTTTGATAACTTAGTAAAACAATAGAGTATACTATATCAAAAAGAGTAGAATATCCGATAGGAAATAACAGATTATAGTTGCCGAAACAAGCCTCGGCTGCGACGCTCTACTTAGGATATCTGAAGCGTCATAACGAGGTACCACTAGAAGGTCTATGGACTCATAGGATAACGTTAAAATCGAATAGATTGATATTCTCGCAATGCCTATTTGTTCTCTTCAAGGGTCAATCGAATTATTTAACATATGTTAAACAATCAAACGTTACATCTCGAATAACGCAAGCTTTTCGGAGCGACTAGGGTTTTTGCCCGTGTAAATCAAATTCATTGGCCGGGTTTTACAAGTAAGCATCATTATCTCCGTGAAGAAGTCGTTTCATGAGTCAGGTGGTAGAACATAAGCTACCTTCATGCTCTCTTTGAGAGTAGATGTGTGGATGGCTTAGATGAGCTCCAGATAGGAGGAGACAACCAACTGTATCGCCATGAAATTCAATTGTTCCCTATATTCTTGAGAGCCGGCCGTACTACTTGACGACAAACTGTTCAACCCTTGTTTTACGAGGGACCCCATTAACCAGGGTCACGCAATCTCACCAACATGAAAGTATTTCTGGGGTATGTGATTGAAATTCATGAAGCACGCTGTGTTAGGTTCACACTCTTTCCTAACTTGGCCATCCTCGTTACAGCCTAATCTCACCTCCACAGCTATTTGTCAAGTACTCTGTCGTGATATCCCACGCTCTCCATCGCATCATCACCATAACGGTTATGGTAAGCAATATCGAGTTCCTCCTCAAAAGCCCCTCCGCGACTGGGTTCATAACCCTTAGCCTTATTGTTTCCAACATTCATCTGCTTCAACATAGCCGCATTCTTATCATCCTCGGGCATAACATAGATACCCCTTTTTATAGTCTTCATATGTGTCCAAATATCCAAACCCAGCGCGGCCAACGTAGACATCGTACCAATCAGTGTAAATGTCCATAGACTCTTGTATTCCCTGCAGACACCGACTGCTGTGCTGCTTCTCCAAGTCTGCACGTCACAACTCTTCTTCAATGTATTACTGAGACTCCAACTCAACAATCCCAAACCCAACATCCAAAAAATAGACGCGGTGCCATTAAGCAAACAATTGAATTTGGGCGAAAGATAGGTGAAATTGTAAATAATGATCGTAAGCGTCAAGACTGCGACCATTGCGAGTGATATCGAAAGTAGCACAATGAAAGTCCATGGAATCGGGAATCGCTCAGCACCTAAACGCATGTCAGCATGCATTTATCCAACGTCTCGCCATCTCGATCTGAAAATTGCTGCATATACATACGCAGGTAATACATAAAATATGCCATAATTCCTCCCACGATCGCGGCTGAAATTAATTGTGCAAAACGTAACCCATGGAATGCGACGCGTGGATAGTGGGATGGAGCGACCTTTGCACCTCGTCGACGAGCGTTGGTATTCATGTTGAACGATGTTTTTCCAAAATCTCGAATGAATTTACGAAATTCAACAGAATTAGAAAATCAAAGGAAATGTCTAGGAAGAAATAGAGAAGAGAGGAATCGTTTTGATTTCAAAATATAGCAAATATACGAACAAAATCCCACGCATACGAAACTTTACGTATAGCCGCTCCCACGAAATATAGTGCTTACATTCACTTACTAGGAAATTATAAAGGCTCGAATCAGCCTCCGAGAAATCCTAAAGCATCCAACACAGCCCCCAAAGTACTTTCGTGGCGTGTGATCCCACTCCTACGCTTTTCAACGGCGGAGTGCATTTCTTTCTATTTTATCCCATACATACCATCCGCTCCTATTACACTTGTTGATGTGTGGATAAAATATACTTCGTAAATTAAGGGCTTTTTTGGCAGGAATTGACACAGGAGTATCAACGCGCCTACAACACAGATAATTCTATTGAAACATTTTGTAGTTGTAACAAGCTTCATGGTCAAGTTTTAAGCCCTGTGAGCGCTTAAATTAAGCATTAAATTAGTGCTTTCGGGGCTTGATTTTGGTGTTCGGTGGCTAGACGTTAAGATAAGATTGCCGACTAAAAGTTCAGCACGCCAACATCCACGACAACAAACTTTGCTGGAATGTGCAGATACTCCACTATACAATAGTCCGTGAATTCTGAAGAGGATTTATTGTTGTATGAAATTCTGGAGATTTATCAAACGGCCGCGTTGCAGACAGTAATCGGAAACACCTAGCCCTTCCAGCTGCTGCCGCGTGCATCGTTCATTGCAACAGCAGTAACCTTATTAGACAAGTGCTGTATTTCTTTCCAGCTTTTCCATGCCAAAGAAAGAAGGCTTCAAACCAGAAGGTTCCCGAATCTCGATAGCGATATTTATATCTCTTACTTTCACCTACAAAGTTTGCTCAAGTGATGCATACGTATTTCAAGCATTGAATTCCACAATATTGGTGCTAGTCGTACAAAGGATGGTTTCACGGCTGACTTCATTGTTGCTGTCATCGTCTTCTTCTTCTTCTTTTTGCGGCAGGCTTCGCAGTTTCTTGGAACTCTTTGGCATATCGTTCCTTGAGTAATTTCTGGAATTCCCCAAACGTAACGATTTCATTGGTTTCGCGATCAACCACGAGTATGGAATCCTGGGAAATTAGTATCGATCTTCTGCTTGAGCAAACCCTGCAGGCTGGTAAAATATGGATAACTAACCTGCGCCTCTAGCAAGTCCCGTTTCTATTTGTCTAATTTTGCATTTTCGGCCTGAATAGATTCTTCTTCCTTCTTCTTGCTTGACACTTCCTTCTCTTTCTTGATTGTCTCTTCCCTCTTTTGCCCCTCAATAGCCGCGTCTCCAATTCCTCTTCTCCAGACTTGTTGAAGCACTCTCTGAATATCGATATTTTTCTGGTGCTGACAATGAGTCCATTTTCCTTTATCATCCAACGAATAGGTGAAGACAGTTGCATTGGGCCAGCCATGTCTGCCTACAAATTTTGAGGGGGGGTCCACAACTTCGAATCCAGACATCAGTGACTCACCTCCTTTGATTCTCCATAACAGATCTTGCAATAATTGCGCTTGGCTCACTACCACAACCTCCAGCACTTTTTGAGCCTCCTGTAAAGATAAATCCTTCCCCGTCAACCACCCCATGACGAAATCAGCATCCTTGGTCTTTGATCTAGGATCTGCCACCTCACTAACCCAAGGACCACTAACATCTTCTTCCTGATTTTCCTCTCGTAAAGTCCAAGGTCTATTACCATTTCTTCCAGCAAGTGCGGGCATGATTTGAATTCTGTCGCCTCTTCCTGTCGCCTCAAGTAGTCCCTTTCGTGCAGTTTCTACACATCGTTTCATAGGCGAAGAGAAGATATTTGTGATATATCCTGCGTGTTTCCGCATGTTTTCGTAGAGCTCATCGCATTGGCGCTCTCCTTTGGAAGATAAGCCAAAGTCGGCTCCACCTTCTTGGTAATCTGACTATTCAAAAATCAGCCATGCCAAACCTTTCACGAGGAAAAAATATGGAGACAATACAGAAGCATGGCGTATAAGATGGATTGTGATGGAGGGTGGCCTATCTGAAGCTGGTTTAGCCGCCATGACGCAACAGGAAGATAAATTGCGGCGATTTGTACCTAGAGAGTCCAAGTCTTAGAAATATTCCTCAAAGTGGTATATAACCAACCAAGATTGTTTCGCGCCGTAAGATAGAGCATCTTCTGGAACAATAGGCAACTACCTGAAAACCGTCGAATAGAATTTAAGAATGTGCAAGAACTCAGACTGGTTTGAAACCAAGCTCTTGGTGTATCCAGAAAATGCATATAGTATACTCGAAACAGAAAAACCCCTAATCACTGTACATGGGAGAAGAAGATGGTAATATCTAGTTCTGTTTTTTAAGTTAGGAAGGCTACATTGCATGACCTAGGAGTTTTCCTACGGAAAATAGCCGATACTCAAAGCGAGACTTGCTACAACGAAACTTTCAATATGATCTTGAATATGCTGAGATTCTCCCAAAATTTCCGAACAGTTATTTTTGAGCCTAAAGATAGTCCCATAGTATTCCAGGTCAAAACAAATAGATATCTACCCCTCTGCCGCTTCATTTTTATTTAGATTTGGCGTCTTTTCCTTCAAAGGAGAGAACTGTTTTTACCAACTGTCCTCCTCGCGTGACAGATCAATCACCCCAAGTGTCTCTTTTACTAGTGATAACTAAGGGTTCCAACTGCTCATTATAATCTCAAAACCTACCTAACTATTTTCTTCCATATTTCTACTCATTGAAATGCTAAGACTCGGAAATTTATGCATCAGAGTGGTAAGAATGTTTTACTTAGTTCTTCTTTATCTAGTGTTAGCTTCACAAATGATAAATTGAATTTTCTAGCTCTGAAATCTAATTGTATAATGTTCTCCATATCGAACAAATATACGTATACGCAGGATAGGTAGTAAGAACTTACCAACGTTCGATATGCGGTCTGAGTTTCTTTTTCATCAGTAAAACGTATCTATATTCGTGACGTAAGATCTTAAAATAGCGCACATTTCCATATCACAGTAGGACTGAGAACTCGAGAAGCTTCTTGACATAACAACCAAGTTTTTGAGATTTTATGGATCTTATGGCTCAAGGAATTGTGTATGAAGCTCATCAGGAGGGAATAATACGGATTGATGGAAAGCCCAAAAATACCTTCGATGGAGCGAGTGATAGTCTGATATTGGTAAATTTTAATGGAGATTGTTCAGAAGACTGCGTAACAGCTCAGTAAATTCCATTCAACTCTTCCACTTCGACTTCGTCGAAAATCCAACAACAGAAGATCTCGCGTCTGAATTTTCGAGTATTCCAATAATGTTTCACCGTGACTTGAGACTAGACAATAGATGATTTAATTAAGCATACCGCCGCGAGCACCTTTTAACCCATAGAAAACCTTATAAGCAGAATAATATTTTCTATTATTAGTATACGCTCGAATAGATTGAAGTTTTCCATTACGATCAATATAAATATCAAAAATTGCTTTCATCTACGTAAACTTGACTCCTTCTCATTTGCTCTATATTATTGCATAATTAGCAGATGATCCAATATAGCTTGAAAAAAGAACAATGACCTATTACAGTAATACCACACTCCTGGGATAACGTCAAACTATACTTAGACGGTCTCTCTACCGCATAGTACTTAGTTCCCCCTGGAGTGACGATTTAACTAAATTTAACTAGTAAACTCTAAACTCTAAACCCGAACATTCTAATAAAGCTTCGAACTAACAAAATTTAAATGAAATAAACACCCTATGATGCTCGAAAGTTGATGGCTTTTAATTGAGCTCCATGTTCACCACATATCAATTCCAGCTCTTTCTCCAGTTTCATATCCCAAAATATTGCTAATCTTACTATCACCAAACTGCGTTTTCCATCACAAATCCAAAACCCTAACCGAATCATTCAAGAACAAGATTCCATCATCATGATCCAAAAGACATCGCATCAATTGTTGCAAGTTGTGGATATTCTTAACAATTCTCAGTTTAAAAGCTTAAAGGCATCGTGATCAAAAATTTGAAGGAGCGAATAAAAAATAGAAAATTAATCACTAGCGCCATTTCGGATAGATACTCAAGGTGGACTCACAACGCTTATGACATATTCACCGTCATCAACTTCAGAGACTCTTCTTCCAGTTTTGAATCATCAACGAGTACAATCGTTAAAGTAATTGTAGCAGTAATAATACTACATGTAGTATGTTAATATAATAAATTGCTCAGTGACACTTGTCACGATTATAGAATCACTCCTTGGCAACTTTCAACAGCCGGAACATACTGCTATCGCTAGTTTCTGATGGAATAAAGTATGTCGTGAGAGATTTGAGGATGAATTTGAGGATGAATTTCAGGACGGAGAGAGTTGCTGGAGCCTATCCTGGTGTGAGATAGAAGTATTTCGGATTTCAAGATGGCGCCTTGAATCATCTGCTGTCAAACTCTCCATCCCTACGACTCATCGCTGCCAAGGACTCATCCTGGATACAACGATGATGGGTTTACAGCATTGTCACGTTTGCAGGCATAACCCTAGTTTTGCTGCGAACAACTCAGATTATGAATGATGAAGGCTACATACCATCATTTGTACCAACATCATTAATTTATCATCTGAGTATGTCTGATGAAACCAATTGAATCCTCCAATTTTGTCCTGAAGGTTGTTGGATTTTCACTGACACTTGCGTGGATATACCAACTTTCAGTACCAACAACAGGGTGCACTCAAAATAAGAAAAATCCGGAACGTCAATCAATGGCAAAGCACCCATGTATATTCATGCATCTCTGGTAAGAAATCCGGTATCAGTGGCTGCGACTACCAGCATTGGCTGGTGTGAAGAAGCCATTCAACCAGCCAATCACGACAGTGACGTCAGCGAATTCAAGTCTGGAACATACAAGAATTCTCAAGACCTTCTTGCCTTCAACCTCAATCTAAAATTTGAAAGCATAATTACAACACCTCAAAACAGATCCTAATCACCGCAATAGCAATCGCAAACGCAATGTCATCAACAAGCAGCTCATACAAATCCAGTAAACGTCACGAACCCGCGCCCTCACGTACCGCCCTCACAATCCCGACCATTGCTCCTGTGATTGGAAATTATTCCCATAGCAACACGATTCCGTCGAATAGATCCACAGTCTATCTCAGTGGATTTATGGGTGATTTGCCCGGCGACGGACGAATAATTTCTGGAGGAGTAGCAGCGCAGACTACGCAGATCATGAGGAATTTGAAAGCTGTTTTGGAAGCGAGTGGGAGCGGATTGAATAAGTTGGTTCAGAGAAGAGTGTTTTTGGTTGATATGGGAGATTTGAAGTAAGTTTAATTTTGACTTCAATTGAAGGAGGAGAAACATTTTCGGAGTGGTCGTGGTTGTGTGAAAAATGGCTGGAAAATAAAGAGGTTGAATGAAATTTCTGCTAACTAGCATGTTAAGAACGATAGATAGAATATGGGGGGAATGGGTCAAGGAACCATATCCGGTGAGCACTTGTGTACAGGTTGTGAGGTTGGCTAAGGAAGCCGCAAAAGTGGAGATTGAGGTAGTCGCAGAAACAAATTGAAATGAAAGATCTAATTATGGGGCATTATCTTGTTGGAACTAACATGATGACGTTAAATGTTAAGGTGACGTTGCGTGACGGTGCTTTCAACGTTCCATTAGTTTGCGGATGCAAGGAACGCCCCTTGAAGCATGAAACGTGTTCATTAGGGCTCTGGTAGCATGGATTAAAGCATGTCGCGTGAATTCAATGAAATCATCAAGTTTAGGGGGTAGAAATATATCCTCCTTTGCAGTCTCGTGAAAAGATGTAACTCACACATTCTTTTTTGTGACTGATATTCTCTCACTCTTTTGCTTTAAGGCTAGTGGGTCTATCAGCAAACAATTGTGATGTTTTAATCATCGGTCCATCTTCTCATCCTTTTAGATTTTATCCAAATCACTTGGTAAGTCCCACCTACGCAGAATTATGTTGCTCTGCGCTCAATGTTCTGTCTATCCAATGCTGCAATTCGATAGGGTCTTGCTGGAAAGGTCATCTTCGGAGCAAGGAACATATCAAAAGCAATAAGAACTTTTAATCGCAGATCCAGCTGGTTACCCGAGCAAGGACTATCTATACAAGTAACAGTCTAACCGAAGGGAGGTACTCGGGTTCATTAAGTGGGTTTCGGAAGTCATCAAAACTAGACGTCAACTCCTTGCAAATATCAAAGCACTTCCACGGGTCAGCCGAGATGAGATTCTAGCCACTAAAATCCATCGCTGAATAGATTCAGATGCCGGATTTCCCTCTAACAGACCTACACCAGATGTGCGGAATATAACACCGACAATGGTCACAGTTTTGGCCCCAAAGCATTACTTAAGCTCTTCATTCAAGAACTTCGCGAAGAATCTTCAGATACAGATCTCAGTGCAGCTTTTGGTGCACTACAGCGGCATTTTATGCTTGAAGCATTGTCGATAGTATCTGACATGGCAAAGCTTGGAGATGCAAAGAGATGGGTGATAACTTCCTTGGAGATTCGAAGCGAACGAAGCCGGAAAACTTAATGGAGGGGAATATATTTCATGTACAGGATAAACTAGTTTTCTCTCTCTAAAATTTTTAGTGCAAATCATTAAATTTTGCTCGAATCGAAGGGAATTAAGACTTATGATTTCAATGATGTTTTCAGCCTGGCTATGTCGAAGCTGATAGATACGGCACTATAGCTTTAATGATACGAGGTCTGTGGTAGCAATTTGAAAAAAAGGTAACTCTAGAACAGAAGAATAAAATAAGAATAGATATACTTCCATTTCTGGCTGTCTGGCTTGCAATTGGAAGATTTAAGTCTTACCTTCTGTAATTCTGCCTGGGCGGTGAATAACGTTTAACTAATCATGCAATGTGAATACATAGGACAGCGTAAAACGTTTCTCTTCATTGAACTCATCGTGTCTGTTGGGTCTGGGATACTGCGTACAAAATGTATGTGGCGAGTCGGTCTAGAGTTTTATTTTAGCCCAAAACTGCTGTGTTAGACATTTTGTCGTGTGAAAGTGGATCTTGCTGGTGGCCTGGGACGAAGGTTTCAAGTTTTGAAATGTCTCTTGGTGCAAAATCTGCAAAGTTGCATTGGGGGGTTAGGAGATACCAAAGAACCCTTCTAGTTTCGGGCTGCTATCGTACGTATTGGCACGCTGCATCATGTTCACGCACATCACATTAATCAATCCTTTCCCAAACGAATATTCTTCTCCCTGCGTCATGAAGAACGACTAGATCAGACGCGAAGCTACTACATGACACGGTGTAGTCTGTCCTTGAAGCTCTTGTTTGAGTTCAGTTTCGCATACATACATCCACACAAGTTCCGATTCACATCAGCAAGACGTTGAACCGACAAAGAGTCCTGCAGGATTGACTGTGGTTAAGTCCAGCGAAAACGAGAAAGAGTACTGCGAGAATGGGAGAAGTTTCCCCATACTCACGCAATTACAGAATGACTTATTCTCCAGTCCAAAGTACTTACCATCAAACAATTCGCCCCATTGCCAAATTCGCAACTTTCCCAAATTCAAACTCTTCATCAGCTTCCTTGATGATTCCTTCCCAATCAGCCACGGATCTTTCGCGTGATCCAAAGTATGAAAGCATATTAAGGTCTATTGTTCTACAAGCCAGGGTACATAAGATCGTGGAATTCATCACAAACTTAGACTGTTCACTCACCTCAATCGTTTCTCTTCAAACCAAGACAATTGTCCCGGTTCTGCCAGTTGAGGCTCTACAATCACCAATACTGACCCTTTCTTCAATGCCGGAATTTGGTTTTTTTAAAAGTTGGACGCAGTAATGATCTTTCCAGTTGTGTAGTACTGCGCGAAAAAAAGAACGTCAACTTCTCTGAAAGTTTGTGGCTTTAACATATCATATGGCATGAAAGTTATTTCTGTCGGAAGAGATGTCAGAGGGTACATGCGCTGGACCGTCCGCAACTACATCTGCAAAATCTTGCACGATAAATCTCAGACGGAAAACTTTTTGTAAGTCCAATGCTAACAGGACCATAACCACCGCCAACATCTACAACAGTTGCGGAACCGAGGCTTGCCCAATCATAAGTACTGATCAATGGCGCCAGGGTGATTTTTGACGCATAGGCACTCATGGCATTGGCCCAGCGATGGCCACGAGATGGGTGGGAGCGTACCTCTTCATAAAGACCATTGGTAGTTTGATGGCCTAAAATAAACCCCTGAAAGCCAATCGTAAGTAAATTGCTACTGTAACCTTCGAAATTGATGTAAAGACACTTGACGAGAAAGCAAATATCTACCCACAGATTGATTTGGCTCCTTCGCATATCCAAATTTCTGTAGCGCCTGCGTTGTCTAAATCTCCGTCAGTCTAAGCAACCCTCGAGTGAGATGATACGTAACGTATGCAGCTGCTTGAAAACGTTCTTCACTCGCGATGCCCACAAAATCCGATATCAAAGGATCTGTTTGGATGCTGCAGTGTGGGCTACAATACCAGAGCGTGTCTCCTGGAGGATATTATTTGTCATAGCATGACGCAATATTCTGCGAGTATCGATGAGATTCAGACCACATTTCTCTGAAATATCTTCAAAAGTAGCCTCAGTACCGACAGGGAAAGCATGTGCCATCTTATAAGCATAAATGCAATGTAGACTCAGACTATCTACTAGCTGATCTCGTGGGTCAGCTCAAGTCTCCTACATCCCGTAAATGTTTCGTGAAGTAGCGCAGACTAGGCGAGATACGAACCAAAATTCCCATCAGTACAGCAGTTGGCCCCAGCATCAGATGGTGTAGCTCCATGGTCGTGCTGAAGACTTCGGCATATGCTTTCGCCACTTCGTATTCATTAGGAGGAATTGAAATTCTAGACAGACCAGAGATATCGAAAGATGGGACTGGAAGGTCATTTTCAAGGAAATATGTGTTAACAATTGCGGTTGCTTCAGCAAATGGTCATATCAAGTGAGAGAATTTTAGTTAGGGAAGAAATTTTAGCTGCTTACTATTCAAAATACTTTTCATAAGAAGAAACGATTTCTGGGGCGTGGTTAATGCAATTTATATGGAAAAGTAGAGAAGTACCAACCAACAGTTGGTAAGATGCCCTTTGGTTACCTGTTTCCCGGGAGAATAATGCAATCAAAGCAGTGCATTCAGTTTTCGAAAAATACAGACTATGCTTCTTTTTAAGTCTTAGAAATGAGGATGATCCGAGAACGGAATTCATTCGGCAGCCTAGCGGCTGAGGACTTTCCAACCTCCACACCTGCGAAGTTGGCTATCCCTCGGTCTAAAGTAACCCATGGTAAAGTTGGCGTATCATCTGCTCGGTAGGTGATAGACTGTCTCAGTGAATCCAGACAGTATAATTTGTGCTCGAAATGGAGTAGATTGTGGAAGTCCTGCAACTAATTCCTGTGTTGAAGTCTTAAGCAATTGCTTCATTTTCTCCAGTCAGCTGTTATAGATTCTATGAATGGTCTCATGAAGAATTTAAAAAGATCAGGGTGAACATACAAGGCTATGCATCTAATAAAAAGCACCAATCATGTATAAGCCTTTACTGCATAAGCCTCTCCTCTGGTCACCCTGAAAGTCCCGCAATTTTGGCAGCCCATGGTCGACAGTCCAAGTGAGATCAAAAGCAATGACTCCAAAAACTGCACGGAGATCTTTCTAAAGAATATCTGCTTCCGCACTATTCGCTATATTTACATAGTCCGCAACAGTGCTTGTAAATCTGATGTCTGTTTGAGGCAGGCTAGTTGTAGGTCAGTGATGTATTAAAAAATTTGGGACTTTGAAAGCAGTAAGAGTCAGAACATACAGGGCTATGGACCAAATATTAGTATGGAGTTCCTGCAGGACTCTTTCACAACCAAGAAAGCGTCTGAAAAACACAAAACTATGCAGAGAAGACTTGGAGATAGGCTGCGCAACAGAGCTTCGCAAGACGGATTATTGCTTATAGTGAGTAATCGGTGGATAATCTATTTGCGAGGTGGGTAATTGAAGAATCTGAATAGGTAATCTGTAGATTATTTGTAGATAATCTATCAATTTATAAATAAATAAATTATCTGTAAATAATTTGTAGATTATTTGTAGATTATTTACAAATAATATTTATTTAAATTTTTGAAGCTATTCTTATATTTTTTATATTAGTTTTTATATCAATTTTTATAAATTACATCTATTTTATATAAATTATATTTAATTATAAATTAATGAATTATCTACAAATAATCTGTAAATAATTTATATAATATAGATTATTTTAAAATCTTAATAAATAATCTACAAAACGAATTGTAGATTTATGAAATAGCCTATAGGGCGGATTATTTGCGGATATCCGCAATCCGCGGGTTATTTTTGCGCAGCCTACTTGGAAACCACATGAGCGGCTGTATTTATTGAACCGATAAGACTGAGGACGGCTTCTCAAAGAACCATTTCCATTGTCGAGTGATTCGATATTCATTCAGTGGCACGTATTGTTTGCTTTCCATTATGCATATCTAATATCAGGAGAAAGAACTTGGGGGGCTAATACACACGAGTCATTTTAAAAAGTGTTGCGTCTGAATTCGAAATTTGTTGTTGAGCATTACGTCTTCGAACCGAATCAGTATGCCCAATAGTCTGGATTGCAGGATGGACTATATGTTTTCAAATAAACAGGTCAGCTTTCGTTCACTGACGAACTAAACAGTCCGTTCTTGTTTTCGAACTCTCTCACCAAACTGATTATAGTCTAGATGAGCTAGACTTTTGGATTTAATAGTGATATCGTATGATCGAAATATTATGTGATAATATTATAAAATATATTTAAATCGTTTTATGTAAAATTAATACTACAAGATTATATCATACGATATCATTATTTAATTCAAAAATCTGGATTACAGTTTAAATTTTTGACATTGGACTATTTAATCCAAACTTTTAATATTATAATTCTTTAAATAGTTCATCTAATCCAATAATATTACAGACTAGCCGTCCCGAACGGAGTACGGGAAGACTATTGGACACACTGAGCCGGACAAGCATCCAGGTTGATATCAACCCGCATATGCGCTATAATCGCCAATTTCTACAGTAAAGATATCAGAGCAAGGATACTAGGCCCACATTGATGTAACTGTAATCTGTGGCAATGAGTCTCATGATTTTGGTGGTGAATTGTTCCGACCTCTGCCTCGTATCATGACTTCTCTCTCTTCGTCGGAAGACTCCATCCGAGCCCTTTTTAACTCTCGTACACTGCTTACGTGTGGAACTTAGATGAACCCAAAGAATATCCTCCTGCATTAATTCCTCCATATCTATTATGTTCAGTTCAGATCAATTCATCATGTCAGGTAACATGAAAGACTGCGAGGACTTAGCTTTGACGGAGGGTTTTCTAGATCAAGAATCGACAGAATCAGGCAAACGGGCATTGAAGCATAAACACAATCAGTATTCACGTTCTAGTATCTGTCTCTCACAAAAGTCATTTTGGCCTTGGATTCATATATTTTTAATCTTCAACTATACGGTCTTGTTCTCCTTGGCGATTCTCAAGTTCTCGCGGAATGCGATTCATTTGCAGCCGCCAGAAGAGCTCTTACACCGTAAGAAACTTGTTAAACTCTATTGCACACTGCCTTGCTCACGGATATGAATGTATAGTATCGGCTCGCTCTGCTATAGAATGGGAAGTACGCAAGTTCGAGACGAAAATTCTAGGAAATCCCTTCGTCGGCGAGCCCCGACCTGAGCTCGAAAATGCATGGCATAATCTTTTACGGTGTAATTATGCCGCCTTGATTCCATTCAAACAATTCTAGATTCGAGATACTGAGATTGACCAGATGACAATCTACAAGTACCGTTGAGCGACTTTGACGAGAATATGCCCGTCATACATTTGAAAGATGGATCTGGTGTCATTGCTCAATTGACAGTTTTTCATGCCCTTCATTGTTTGGTATGTGTACCGGTATTATTCCCGTGCGAAATCCTACTGACAATACCTTTAGAAGAAATTAAGACAGTGGGTTTACCGTAACCACTATTACAGTACTGCTTCCGAAGATCGACTGTCCTTAGAATCCGAACATGCAGGTATGAAATGAGTGTCCCCATTTACATTGATTTAAGCTCAAGCTTCATTCTTAGATCACTGTATTGAATATATCCGAGAGCATCTCATGTGCAAGCCCGATATTTCACTCATCACATACAAGTGGGTAAATGGAACGCGTGGAAATGAGGTTATAGGGCAGAGCAAGAGTTTACGACCATCGAACAAAGATCTCAGCGACCATGAGTGTGTAAACTGGGATAATGTTGATGCTTGGGCTGGGGAGAGAGAATTTGATTTGTTTCGTGTTGATCTACTTAAAAGGCCTGACCCCGTGTCATGAGGAGTTTTCTTCTTTATGGCCATTAGCGAAGACGGTGCGTGAGGCTATATGCTGGGGATAAGCTAGTTCTAGACATAGTGCATTTAAAATCTGAAATGGTTGCAGAAGAGTGAAGCTTCGGCTTTAGTTTTCCTCTTACTAAGCTTTCTTTTGGCCAGTGGGAATGCTTTTTCGTCACGTATTTGGCATCCTTGACACTTTCAGGGTTGGGAAACTAAAGACCAAAATTTGATAAATCAATAAATTTCTGTTGCTTGCAAAACAAGGACCCCAAGAACCAACACAGTTGAGCAGAACAACGATCATGGTTGGAACTTGAAAGTTGGAAAGGCTCCTCCCGAGGTGGTTTTCCTTGTTCTGGGATATGTGCATACGTTACCAATGTTGAACTTGACCATGCAAACAATATCTCAGCTGCTCTCCATCCCTGCGCGCGATGTATGCGCGGGTGAGGCGAAGCCATGTTTAATCACTAAAACTGCACATACAGAAGAGTAAGCAAAGAGATACACACAAGCATGTGGACTGACAGTAGCAAAACCACCTGCCGCATGTGTCGACTACTGCATCACAGCCATAAAAAAATACCCGATTTTCTTCACACCACGGTTGCTACACGACAATGGCAAGTCACAGCATTAAGACGGAGGTAGCCCCTGAATCCTAAGATTCGCTCTCAGCTGCTCAAAATTGCTCGCCTCACCAAGGCCAAAACGGTTATACGAGCTAGTGGCGTCGATCGGCCCTGTATCTGCAGAGACAGGTTGTTTGCAACGCATCTTGTCTACTCATGTGAATGAGTGTGATATGAGAGCAAATAAGCAGGGATGGAAGGTTTGAAGTTGATTCGAGATATATAAAGGAATAGCTTTCCCTCAACGGCCATAATTCTTCGGTCAGTCCAACCACAAACACCGAAGCCTCTAAAATTTTTATATTTTTCGCACTTCGCTCAAACAAAATGTTCAAGTCTTACATCCTCCAGGCGATCTTTGTGTCGCACATTGTCGCCATGGCCATCCCAACTGTTGCAGGTACGTGTTAAGATATAATTTTAGAATACTATTATTATGCAAGAGAAAGGACTTCAAACTAACAGCTAAAAAATAAGTCGATGCCGCCATTGTTAGATCAGTGGGAGATGCAGATGCCGATGCAGATGAATTAATAGTTTATGATCATCGGCTCTGGAAGAAGGAAGAAGCTGCCAGTGAAGTCGATGCGGATGAACTAATAGTTTACGATCACCGAGTCTGGAAGAAAGACGAAGCCGATGCAGATGAAGCAACAGTCTATCCCCGTCCAGCCTGGTAGAGAGAAGATGCTGAAGCTGACACGGACGAAGCGACGGTCTAAGAGAGATGAAGCTGGAGCCAATGTACGTGAAGCAACGACCTATGAAAAACCTTCAGTTTGGTAGTGGGGTGTAGGAGGAACAGGGGAGCAGTGAAGCAGTGGAGTTGCAACGACTGATGATATACTTCCACATTCGTTTTATTTCGGCATTATACCAATCGGAGAATCAATGATTTATCCCTCCAAACATGCTAAATCCAGTACATTGCTTCGTGATATGATGATTTCCTTCAATTTGATATATTGCATGAATAGCATACTATCTTCCTACAACTTCACCACTACTAGAGCTATCATATCATCGTGAATCTGGACCCGACACACTGTGTAATGGCCAGACCCTGGTAATTTTTCTGATAGGGAAGCTCGCCGCCCTTGCATTTAAAAACCGCGATGAAACAATGTTGCTTAAGATACGACATGTTCAAAAAGAGTACAAACATACAAACAAAACGGTCGGCTGACAGATTAGAGATAAGCAAGAGTTTGAAGATAATAAATAGTGTACTCATTGAGAAACGTTCTTTTCCGTATCGCCAGTGTTCGGTTCGGAGGCAATTTCAAAAATCTATCCAAATAATCGTCATATTGGAAAATGATTCTCTACTCTGTCGCCAAATTTTTAATTACTGTGGCACTGGTAAAGCATGTCTAGGGCGTTGTATTGACGACCTGAGCAAGTTCTTCCATCCGCTAAAGCACGCAAACCTAGTCCGTACACATATAACTAAATAGGGAAATCTTCTTCGTCGAATTGAGTGACAAAATATAACGTATATTTACGAAGCAGCAAGTCGAAGAAGCAAGAAATGCCAACGTGTTGGGAAGGGTCAACAATCTAGATGTTCATTGCTCCACTCAGCGACATAGAGAAATCTCTGCACATGAAAGACTGGTAATTACGAACGGCTAAACAGCAAGCTCAATCCGGCGCAAAAATAAGGAATATCACGCAAAGATAAGGTATGTCTATGGCGAAGAATCGAAAAAACGTCCACACCAAGGTAGCATCCAGATTCCGAATCCAGGACCGTCCCACTCAGAATGGCACATGGAATTTCTTCATATAGTATGAGGGATTAACCTTAGCCGAAGTATTGGTTGATGAGTATAAATCATATAGATAACAGAGTAGTACTTCGAAGAACGAAGAAATATCCGCACCAAGACAGCATCTAGAGTCTAATAGGACTGTGCCACATGCAATGGCATGTAAGATATATCCTCCCAATATACCATCGGCCAGAATCCGATAAAACTTATCAGCTGGGCAACATCAACCACGATGCTTGTACGTCGTGAGGTTGAGGTTGCAATATCGATAAGCAGTAAGATCCGCGTAGGGACGCCAGAGCCTCATTCTTAGAACCCGACGTCCCCCGCCACGCCGCTTAAAAGCCATAATCAAACCAATGAAATGAGCAAGCACAGAAATACTATTCGAAAAAGGCCTACTCTATATTATTCCCTGAACCAGATTAAAGCTTCTTCTTATTGTTTTGGCAGGTGATCATGTACTCTGTATAGTTTATAATTTTATCTATTGATTTACTTTATATTTTTAATATTTATATTAATATTAAATTATTATAATAAAATAATAATAAAATAAACTTTAAAGTATATTAATAATAAATTATAATTTTAAATAAAAATAATCTTGATATTTTATATATTTTTATAGATTTAAAATATATATAAAATTTAATTATATTATTTAAAGATAAAGATAATTTTAAATATAAATAATATTAATATTAAAAAATGATTTAATATATTAATAATATAAGATTATTATTACAAGGGATACGATCTAGATTATATAAAAGTGGTCTGGATCCTCGAATGGTTTATAACTAGATGTTAAATAAAAGTTTTAAAATAATATCAATAATTGTAATTTATAATTAATAATAGAATATAATAAATAATTGATTTTGAATATAAAACTTTATAAAAAGAATCCTTTCTTAATTATATAGATCTTTATATCAATTGGATCATAAGGATCTAATAGATCTAGGATACGATTCTTTAGATCCTCTAGATCCTATAATCCATCATGTGATTACGATCAGATTATATATCCGAGCTTGCTAAAGGTGGGGAGATTATATGAGGTGATTACTATACAAATTTGTATACAAATCGCCTTGCTTTTCGATAGGGCCTAAGCTCATGTGGACAGGTTGACTGTTACCCTGTAACATAGGCGTCAAGCAAGAGCTTTAAAGTAATATCAATGGTTGCAATTTGTAACTAATAATAGATTATACTAAATGATTGATTATAGGATCTAGGGGATCTAGAGAATCATATTCTAGATCTACTAGATCCTTATAATTCAATCGATATAAAGGTCTATATAATTAGAAAAGGATTCCTTTTGTAAAATTTTGTATTCAAAATCAATCATTTAGTATATTCTATTATTAGTTACGAATTGTAATTATTGATATTATTTTAAAGCTTCTGCTTGATGTTTAGTTATAAACTATTCGAGGATCCAGGCCACTTCTATATGATCTAGATCGCATCCCTTGTAACAGCCTAGTTATAAACCATTCGAGGATCCAGGCTACTTCTATATGATCTAGATTGTATCCCTTGTAATAATTATATATAATATTTTAAAAGTATTTAATATATATACTATTATATAAATACTTATTATATTAAATATAAAAATATTAATATATTTTTAATTAATCAGTCTGAGTGTAACGAATTGATCGAGGCAGCGGCTGCCTGAGGTTTCGTATGGTTGGTAGTTATAGGTTAAGTGTTACAGGGTAATAGTCAACCTGTCTATATGAGCTTAGGCCCTATCGAAAAGCAAGGCGATTTGTATACAAATTTATATAGTAATCGCTTTATATAATCTCTCTATCTTTAATAAACTCGGATATATAATCTGATTATAATTATATAATAGATTATAGGATTTAAAGAATCTAAAGAATTTGTTACGAAATCATTTTATAAAGTGTCATGAGGTAGCAGTCAACCTGTCTCTATAAGCTTTGACCTTGTTGAAAAGCAAAGCAACTTATATACAAATTTATATAACAATTGCTTTATATAATCTCCTCATCTTCAACAAGCTCGGATATATAATCTGATTCTAATCATATAATGAAGCTTTTAGGAGTATAAACTTTTATAAGCTTTTTGAAGCCCTCAAAAATGTAGACTTTTGGAAGTTCTCAAAATGGATTAGTATATAATTAGAATAGTTTTATAATTTAGAAGTTTTGTATTCAATTTAATTATCAATTAGTTTATTTATATTTTAATTAATCTAATAATATATTTATCTTCAAATGAATAATTAATAATTATTAATCTTAATTTATAATTATCAATTATACAAAAACCTAAAATAATTGTTATTTTGATCAAATCATTATATTTTGAATATTGTTATAGTTAAACTATATACAATATAATAGCTTCCAATCAGTAATTTATTGAATTGTCTTTATTTAATCTAATCAAAACCCTTATTCAAATCGCTGTTATTATAGAATATAAACAAACAATTCAGATATTCATCTCTGATTTATTTTATAAAGATCGTAATAAATATCGAACTTTTGTTATATAAATTAATTTTTATTATATTTTTAATAAATAACTTTTCTTGATTTTTATATAAAGGATTTTATAATTGATCTTTTTTTTTTAAGAAATTGTATTCAATTGGATTGAATTATTTTTTAATAATCTAATAATCAAGATTATTAATAATTAATTAAACGAAAATATAAAATCTAAGATTTATTGTTTATTTTTTAATTATGAATTGTTCAAATAAAGATTCGATAAGATATTCGGAAAAGTAAATCCTAATTATATAATTGAAAGAATATTGTAATAATTCAGATAGATCAGATCAATTATAGTTTATATTATCAAGTTTTAATAATATATTGAATGTATTATCTAAAATGATGATTATTTAAAATTACAATTTTATAAAAAATTGAAAGATATCATTAAGAACGAATTAACAAGAATTCCGAAATCATTTAATCTTTCTAAATTAATCGAAATCTTTATTTTTATTGATAATCGATTTTATAAATAACGAATGAAGAAGAAAGGAATCATTTAGGAAAATAGGAAATTTCAAAAACCTTATCGTCAGAATAAATATTACAATATTGATAATTCAATGAAATTAAATAATATCGAATAATATTATATGAAATTAAATAATTTAAATATTAACAAAAAGAAAAGATATAAAAAGAATAATTTATATTTTATTTATAAAAAAAATAGATATATATTCTAAGATTGTTTTCAAAAGAAGAAATTATTTATTATAAAAGATAAAAAACAAATGAGATTTGAAAACAAAAAATAAGGTTTTCGAGAAATAGAAATCTTGAAAGAAAATTCAAAGAAAATAGGATTATTGGAAAAAGATCTATTTCAATTCAACTTTGAATAATTAAAGGAATTGAGTATCAATAATCAAAACTTTAGAATTAGTATTAAGAACAATATCGATTACAAAAGAGAATCCTTAGAAAACCTCAAATCAAGAAACGAAAAATCAATCAAAGAATTCGAAAAGAATCAACGATTAATTGAGTTTTATTATTTATTTTAGGAAAATGAATTATAATATCTAATCAATTATCTAAATAAGAAACGGATATAATACTATTATAGAAAAGAGAAATCTAATTTCATCGAAAAATATAAAATCTATAATTATCTTATTTTGTTAACATTTTATACAATAATATATAATGATGTTTATTATATAATATTTAAAGAAAATATTGGAGTAAATAATATTAGAAGATATATTATAAATATAAATTCTTTATTCTTCAATAAAGTATAGGAATATAGTAAATGTAATCTGGAAATTGAAGATGTATAAAAGATTCTATTACAAATTAGGATTCATTATATTTAATGAAGAATTAATAGAGATGATAAAGAAATATCAAATTGAGATTATTATCAAGATTTCTAAACAAAATTAATAGGATTATTGTTTATTATATTCTATTAATTATTGAGTATAAATGAATATTAATATAAATAATTGAATCTCCTTATTAAAGAACAAATTGTTGAATTATTATCGTTAGAATTAAATAGTATTATAAAAATCGAATAATTGATTATAGAAATCAAATTAGAGAATCAACAAATAAATGCTTTGATTGATTTTGAAATTATAAGTATATTTATA